AGACAAAGTTCACATTGACATCATATGGCACAGGCCTCCATTTACATCAAATCACAAACTATTCTCAGAGTAGCCGACATTCAGATTACTTGAGTTATGGTTAACATAAATTGTTGCTACTTCAATGTATATTTTATGTGCTAAAATTTATATTTTTTGTAAGTGATACTATCTATATATATAAATGAAAGTTGTGTTAGTTACTACGCTTATAACTTAAGAACCGCTGAACTGATTTTAATGATTCATACAAATTCTGAGTTGTCTCTTATCCGAAAAGGATAATATCCAAAAAAATCGCGTAAAAATGTTATATGTTAAGATTTTCATTTTGACTTTTGAAATGTACAATAGTAATGTTTTATTTTGCATGATTTTTTTCCATTTTGACTTACTTTTTTTCTAATGTACATTTGTAGTGTTTTTTATATTTTATTTTTGAATTCGAATACTAATACCAATTTATTTAATTGACTTGATATCTTGAGAACTGAAATTGATGGCGGGTTACATGGAAGTGTAGTACCGAATTATGCGGTGGCGAAACGGAATAGATGATATCGAAATAATTTAATGCGGTCACACCAAAGTTCAAAGAAAATTACTTTTTCAAAATCGCTAAAAAATCACGAAAAAGAGTTCTCATTGCAAAAATTCTCAAATCGGGAAAAAATCGAAAAAATAATAGTACATTCCAGTGACAAACTTTGTAAGGATCTTTAAACATTTGCTGTAAAAAATCAGCGAACAAGTTGAAGATTTTTTCAAATTGTTATTCTTCTTTTGTCAATTTTTTTTTTCAATTTGTATTACCATATTGAATTCAGTGAATTTTTTGTGAACAAAATAATGAATAATTTTTCACTATATACAATTTTTCAACAAAAAAATGAAATAAGTGCGAAATACGATGGTAACTGACATCTACCTTTCAACTCCAGGGCCTACATCGTGCTTCAGCTGGAAGATGCGCAAACATTTAAACAAACAAAAATGACCGAAAAAGACTAATGGAGCTTATTTCAAAGCGTGGCCCTACTTCTTTCATGTGACAATAATCCGTCCAATGAGAGCTCAAAATGCAAAAATTTTTGGGAGTACAATCAGTAAAATACCAAATATAAAGGGTGCAAAATAGTAGAGCGAATGGGACTTTTAGTAAGAATAGGATTTCTATTCTTCCAAAAATTCTTCCTGAACATTTAAGATACCTTAAATCGCTTTTGCAGGTCATGATATCGATCATAAATAACCATCGTATGATTTAAGCCATTTTTTAGTCTTCGCCACTTTCTTCTATTTTTGGCCCTTATTTGGCATCTTTGTTTCTAAGGGGGTAGAGAACCTCTTCGCATAAGATTTTCGGAGTAGGGCCCATATTGGTCTTGACCACTAAAAAATTGTATTTATGCTACCCTGGGGTAAAGAACCATCGTACAGATAATTGCCACATATAAGTTTATTCATGTAAAGTCCCCACATTGGAGTATCCCCAAGTCCATTTTCACATCTAATGTGTGGTCAGAAAAGAAAAATTTGTATTCTATTGAATTTGTAACCCTTAAGAGAATATTGGTTGGGAACGTAGATTTGGGATATACATCTATATGAAATAAATTGTGAAAACATGAACAAATTACAAATGTAAGAAAGTAGCACGGGACCGAATATTTGTTAAATCGTCATTGAATTATACTATGATGAAAAATATGGACTTTATGGGGTCTCCAATTTACAATTTAAATGACAAATAAAATTTGTTCCCATATTACTGTAATGGGTGTAAAATAGTAATTATATTTGACTATTCTGAAATCAGTCTGACCTCAATTATGAGGTCATGCTATGTTGTTCTGCTATATTTTCGATTTGGTCTCTATTTGTCATCTTGGATTATAAGGGGTGAAGAAAGTTTTCAATGTAGGTCGATGTTTCGCTTTTTACCATATTTTAAAGGATTTAGCTAAAAATGTGTTTTTGAGGGTGAAAATCTTACACAAAAATTTCAACATATCTATAAATATTAGAATTTTCTCTATGTAATAGTACCCCATCAAGTCCACCTTTTGGCGGACAAACAGACCGACATGGTTAGGGGGACTTATGAGGATTCTTATGCACAATCTGTGGTTCTAATGGGTTTAAAAAAGTAATAAACTTTGCCTATTCTTAAATCATAGCCCTCAATTATGAGTTGTACAAAGTACAGTAAATTCCAAATTACTGCTCATTTGACTAAAAATTAAAAACTAATCGACGAGTACGTGAACATTTATAACATTCATATCATTGAATAATTATGCTTTGACAAATATTCATAATAGAAAAAACTACGGGCCGGCAACGCGGACCGGGCCAGCTAGTTTAATATAATTTTATTGTGAAATCGAGGTGGTCGCCATTCAGATTTTTTATTAAATTTTTAATAATTAAAATAATAATTTATATGCTTTAAGCATATAAAATGAGAGTATTTTTGTTAATTGCATCGAAGTGTATACACAGCCATAGAAGGCATTGGCTTTGGCTTTGAACTAATTGTAAAAAAATAATGAAAAAAATGAAGGTGAGAATCAACATCGATCACATTTAATATCCTTCAAATTCACGATGAATATGAAAACTATTATAAAAATCTCAATAAATTATCAACTCACTATATATAATTGTTGGGAACAATTGCCTAACAGACCCGACCCATAAAATTTACACGAAAAGAAAACCAAAAAATAAAAAAAAACTTTTTTTGAGTTTTGTGTGTTAGTAAAATATAGAAGGCTTCGAATAATTGGGACCATCATTCCGACATAGAATTTTCGCAATATCTTAAATGTTTGATTCTCAAATGGACACTCTTAACTCTTTATTTTCTCTATTATAATATAAATGATTTAATTTAAAGACACTCGATTTTTTAGTCACTCGCCATAGTATAACAGGTGAGATGAAAAAACTGCAACCAACTTCAGACTGCTGTCATTCCCAATCCACTTGTCCGACAGCTGTAAAAATTATTCCAGTGACAGCTCATTATATTGTTTACAAGCGTACAAAAGCATTTTGGTGAGTATTTTAGAGAAAAAAATATTCGTGATGAACTTCAAGCGTGATAGTGTGATTTCTTTATATTTGGCTGGAAAACCACAAGTGGCTATAGTTAGGGCACTCCAGCATTTAAATGTGAATAAATCTCTGGTGTCTCGTACCATCGCTCGTTACCGTGAACCTGGTAGCGTAGCCCGATGTCAAGGAAGTGAACGGAAGAAAACAGCAACATAAGCTGAAATGGTTCGAAAAGTAAAGAAGCGACTTGATCGAAACCAGCGTCGCAGTGGCCGAAAAATGGCTCGTGAGCTGAACATATCGCAATATTCCATTCGGCAAATATTGAAAAATGAGCACCTTCTGTTGGACACCAAAACTCAAGCGCCGGCCATGGTGATGGTGTGAGCCGCCAATTCAAACAAATCTAAACTTATTCTAAAATTTGAAGCTATTTCCGACATTTTTTGCTTTTATTCAATAATATTTAAAAAAAAATGTAAAAATTATGGCGTTTGACTTTGTTGCAGTCCCTGTATATCAGGGACATTTTCTGAGGACCCGTGGAATTTTTCGAAAATTTCCTGCAAAGTAATCATGTTTTTTTTTTAATTTTCATTCAAGATCATCCACATTTTATTCAAGCCATTCCTGCTCTAAAATGGTGGATATTATTTTTTCAAAGGCTTTCATTTTTCAAGGAGTTCATGTTCAGGAATTGTGGATTTTTAAAAGAAATGCTGGATTTTTTGTTATCTTTTTTAAGGAATAGTGGATACATAATTTGTTTTAAGGAACATAAAGTTTAGAACCATGGATTTCAAGACTTTCATGGGTATATTTTTAATTTTCTACCTCAGAATTTGGGAATTTTTTTCCAATATTATTAATATTAAAAATAATTTTACAAGGTCTTCCAGAATCACATTTTTAGGATTGCAAAAATATTGCTAACCTTGTCTTCCTGCATAAAAGTTCTAAATATTTGTTTTTTCAAAACCAAGGACGCAATGATAAATAATATCAGATAAATATTTTCAAGGTTCATTGAAAATATTCTTTGATATTTCAGAGACTTCCGGACAAAACATTAAATATTTTTTTTATAGATTTTTGTAGTTGTAAAATAGTTAGGTTTAATAACATAATTTTGTTGTTTTATATTTATTTGTGGAGAAATATGACGATGTTTACCACGGGTTAAGGCTGGTAAAACAATGGTTTAAGAAATAACACCTGCGGAGAATATCCCCAAAAATCAAGGGACTTTATAGGTACATCTAGCCCTTAACATGGGATAGGGATTTATGATTCCATCCAGAACTTATAATCGTTATACCGGTATAATTCTTCTTGAAACTCTTTCACATGCTAATAAAATAGTGAAAAAACCATATATCCAATATAAAGCGATCGTCATGATCAACTAACAATCCAAGATACAACAGATTGTCTAATTTAATTTGGTGAGTACCCCACTTCTTGTTAGTTCGGAATAGGATGAATATACCAGTAGTCGGCAATTTTAGGATTTTCGCTTCTTTAATCTTTCGCCTTAATATATTCGGATTTGCTAAAGATTGAAGATTGGCTGAATACTTAGTTGTTGGTATTTCTCTCCAGAAGGACCAAATACATGATTTTCTATTTTCTTAAATCTGCTACAATCTGGTTATATCCTTGTATTTATTCAATGTATTAGTGAAAAGATTCCATTTTAGAAAATATCAATTTCATTATCAGAATATTCAAAGGTCGTTTGTTTATTTCGCCTAATTTTTTTCCTAGTGGGAGATCTATCAACAATCAACATCAGAAACAGCATAACAAGTATAACATACAGACGCGAAAATTCTAATCACCATAGACTAGTTAAATCTTGTTTTATTTATTAAAACTTAAAATTAAAATATACTCATTATTTTCTAAACAAGAAGTAGATTCAGTTCAATACTCACTTGACGGCAATTCGCATTTGATCAGCCAAAGGTATATCGAATGACATCTTAGCCACTTATTTCTGTTTCCGTTATTTTGAAAAAAAAAAAATCAGTTCTTCTTCAATTAAAGCGATTTCATTGAAATTCCAACAACAATCATACGCTCAGTGTGACCGACCGGTCAGTCGAGTGTTCAAAAGAATGACAAGAATCGATGAATTCTTTGCTGTGCTATGTTCTTCCACTTTTTAGAGTCAATTCACTTTAGCAATGCATTCATAGCATGAGCATATAAAGTGAAAGGAAAATATTTAACAAAAATTGCTTTAGTACTTGTTAACGTTTATCCTCGTTTTTCGGTTGTTCCCGAAATTCGTATTTGTTCTTAAAAAAAAAAAAACAACTTCACTTAACACCAAATAGACAAATAAACATTCCCAGAAGACTTCAGGTCTACGCACACAGATTTCAAGAACACAAATTAGACAAAATCGTTTTTGTCTTATTCTTTTTGCTTTGCCTTTTCTTTTGCGATTTCTTCACTTTGTTTTGTTCCCTTCTTTCGGGTCGTTCAAAGTCGCCAGTCAAACATCACAGACCGGAGAAGATGTTTTCCACAAACAAGACACTTTAAATTGGTTCATTTGTTTCTTGGAGCAAAACCATAAACGTAAGAGAGAAAGATTCAAGTGTTTCTTATTGTTGTTGTTGTATTTTGTGTACTTCTGTTCCACTTGGGTATTTTCTTTAAATGTGGACTAAAACGAACGTTTTTGCACAAGGGTTGCTCGCCAACTAAACTGAAGTGAGCAACGTTTGCAATGTGTAGCACACTGACCAGCAGCAACAGCAACAGAATGAATGAGTTCTACACTCGCAAACACACTCCCCCTGTGCAGTTTAAGTCAACAGAGACAGAAATACTCACACACATACACTAGCACACACGGGCACACAACCCTCGAGCAAGCACAGTGTTCTGGTCTACGACAGAACTAGACGACTTTGCTGTTGTTGCTTTAGCCGAGAACCGAGAATCATTGTTATTGTTTGTGTTGCCAATGGTCGTGGACTGGTGGGGAGTAGAAGAGAGATTGCTGTTGCTTTTTATTTAACTTTATAAAGGAATACACAAACCCCACTCGCCAAACACTCTCATCTGTGGGTGTGTGTATATTTGTGAACGTGTGGTTGCCTCATTGTTATTTTTGTTGTTGTTTATGTTGAACATGCATGAAAGTGGCATATTATAGATGGGAAATTCATACATGGCATTTTATATAAATACTCGCAGATACATCCCTACACATGCATTTATGTTTGATTTTGTTGTTGCCGTTGTTGCTATTGTTGTTGTTGTATTACGGTAGCTGAAAAAAAAAAAAAACACTTTTTAATAATAACAAAAACCACCACGACAACGACGACTTCGACAGCTACAACGACTAGGACAACAAAAAAGGCGGTGTGTCGTCCTCAACATCCTCATAGCAAAATGAACTCTTATGCGGCTTAAAGCTATTTTCAGTATTTTTTTCTCTCTCGTTCATCATACACACACACACACACACCAGCATTCTGGTAAATCATTTATAAAGTGTTTGAAATATATATTTTAGTGATTATGACAGTAGTGTTGAAAATTGTAGAATAGAGTTCATAATATTTATTTTGCAATAAAATTATACTTGACTCATTTTAAAAGCTTTTTTAAGAGTTTATGGCTGCCATTCAATATTTGTACTATAGTTAATTAATAAGAGATAAGATTCTTTAAAATTTAATACAAAAAAAATCCATTCTCAAAATTTCGTATGAGAAACTTTACGTTTGCTACTGAAAATTTCATATAAAAATATTCTGAAACTTGGAAATGAAAATATCTAAATTTGCTCCTGAATATGTGAAAATGTTCTCGTTTGCCCTAATACTTTGAAATGAAATACCCATGTTTGCTCCTGAAATTTTCGTATACAAGTATCCACATTCACTTCTGCAAGGTTTGTATAAAAAAAAATCAATATTGCACCTGAATGTTTCGTATGAAGTACCGTTCGAATAAAAGTATATACGTATGCACCTGAAAATTTCGTAAGAAGTTCCCAAATATGCACCTGAAAGTTTCGTACGACAAGGCTCACCATTGATCCTGAATATTTCGTAAGAATACACACAAGTAAGCTTATGTGCTCTACCTCTGCACATATGAACATTTTATTTGTAATTCGTAAAATTTGATTCATAATTCGGAAATTCTATTTTTAATTCGTAACGTTTGCATTGTAATTCGATTGAAATACATTTAATTATTCGCCGGCGATCATATAAAATATATTCATGACCGTGGTAAAATTTTGCAAAGGCATTAATATTATTCGAGGGTTGTTTGCTATTGAAAATAAAATGATTAGGTCGATGTTTTGGTTACGCCCATTACATGAGGACTTCTTGGGTACCTCCCGATTTTCGAGATTTAAGTCCCAATTTCAAACCAAATTAGCTAGAATTTGTGTATGCATATTTATCCTCGCAAAATAGGTCCCCTTTTTAGTATAAACTCTTGTAACATTACCTTCCCATCAGTTCTCATCTGTTGTAATTGGATATTTCAGGAGCAAAAACATTTAAATTTTCGGGATTTTTAGGCTAATCGACTTGTCCATGGGCCAACTTATCAGGTGGGGAGGTTGAAAAACGAGGTTATACATTTTGTCAGCTCGAATGTAATTAGGTTGCCTGCTTGATAGTGATATATGAGCGGTTTTCTCTGTCTCGGAGGTAATCCTGTTTCAAGTTCTATTGTGATTGGATTTGAATTTGATCGGCTGAATGGCTATTTGAATTACCATCGGTTGAGATGTATTCAATTACAATGTTTTCGGCTCGGGAAGTATTCTGGCTGCTCTTGGCTCTAGATAGAGTTCAAATATTTTACAGGGTGAGATAAAAAACGCAACAAAATCAAACGCGATAGTTTTTACTTTTTTTTTTCAATTTTGTCGGAAATAGCATCAAATTTTAGAATAAGTTTAGATTTTAGAATTATGACCGTCAAACGGCCAATGAAACCTTCACACACTGCCCGAATGTTGCTCTGCGGTATTTTGGCCCATTCCCGGCGAACCGCTTGCTTGATTTTTTATTTTTTAGTGCCAATCTTGTATTCCAAAACACTACAAACACAATAATCTAACGGATTGGTATCCGGAGATTTTGGTGGCAATTGTGCGCTGGAAATGAAGCGAGGAACCTCAATTTGTAACCATTCTTGGATGGTGCGTGCTGAGTCCTGTTTGCGTGACCAAAGCTTTAAAACACCCTTCAAAATATTTTCGAGATAATATTCGGCATTTATTCTGATGTCACGGTCGATTAATACGAGCGGAGAGCGACCATCGGCTGTTATGGGGCCCACATTATCAACATGTCCGGCGATTGAGTTCTGGTGGGCAACCGAAGGTGCACATTTACAGCTGACCTTTTTGGCAAGTAAACTCGATAATTTTGTTTGTTTACAAACTGTTGGACAATCTCATCGGAAAGTTTTCTCATCGGAGAAAACCAAATTCGGCAGCTCAGCACTTTTGAACAAGCGAAGCGACTCTTTAGATCTTTTGAGTCTATTTTCTTTCTGTTGCGGTGAAAGTTCTTCCACTTTTTGGAATTTTAATAGCTTTACACGAGCTCATTTTTCAATATTTAGCGAATGAAATATTGCGATATGGTTAGCTCACGAGCCATTTTATGGCAACGGCGACGCGGGTTTCGATCAAGTGGCTTCTTTACTTTTCGAACCAATTCTGCTGATGTTGCTGTTTTCTTCCGTCCACTTCCTTGACGTCGGGCTACGCTACCAGTAACACGGTAACCAGCGATGGAACGAGATACAAAAGATTTATTGACATTTAAATGCTGGAGTGCTCTGTGGTTTTCCAGCCAAATAAAAAGAAATCACACTATCACGCTTGAATTCCATCACGAATAATTTTTTTCTTTAACATTCTCACCAAAAGGCTTTTGTACACTTGTAAACAATATAATGAGCTGTCACTGGAATAATTTTAACAGCTGTCGGACGAGTGGCTTAGAAATGACAGTAGTCTGAAGTTGGTTGCAGTTTTTTCATCTCATTCTGTATATGGGCCTGAAAATTCATGTTTGGAAAATTTCATCCCAATCGGATAATTAATGCGATCTGCTTTTTGTTCACAAAAATACATGGACAGGACACGGACAGGCAGACGGACTGACATGCATAAGTCGACTCTGAGAGTGATTCTGCGATCCTTAAAAGTAACTATAGGTCTATCTCACTTCCTTCTCCATGTAACAAACATCGACATAATATCCTTACCACTATGTGGTGTAGGGTATGAAAATATTTAAAGATTTGGCAGAGTTTGAACTGAAAATGATAACTATTTTCTAAATTGAACCTTCGATTGTTCCTCAAATTTGCTTTTGAAAATACTTGTAATTTATTCTGGATATATAAAAAAGAGTTTTTAAAAATTCTCTTTAAATTATTTATAAATATGGCCAGTCTGTTTCCATAAATTGTTTGGATTTTTTCACCATCAATACGACCTAAATAAGAACTTAATTACTAGTTGTGCTATTTTATTCAACTCGCCTGTAAAAGATTTGATTCTTTTATCGATAGCGTACGAAATGTGTATATGTTTATAGCCACAAACAACACAAAATTGTTTAGTGGATTGAGGAGCGTAAAGTGAGGCGCTTCTTTCAACCCATTTTCTTTGGAGAGCTCTCATTCTGACATAGCCATCACCACCACCAGCACCACTAATAACGGAAAGAGCAAACCTTTATGCTTATAAGCCATTGACTTGTATACACGGTAGCATGTAGAATTATACATTGTTATATACCCCAGGAACCCTTGTAAAAATGTTAGTCCTTCGATTGACACTCACTGTTATTAACGGCTGTCTGATTTGTGGTCAATATCCAACTACCACCATGAAGAGGACAACAGGTGTTTGATTCGGTTTTTTTTCTGTGTGGGTAGGTACACTCATCGCATCAGAATTATGGCAATATTGATTGATTACAAATTAGCAAGTAATAAAAATGTTTTATTACGCTATGTGACTACAGTGGGTACATCTTCTACATGATTTCCTAAAAATGCAGTTTTAAATAATCAAACTGTACATTTTATTTTGCTACTGAACACTTTTGTGGAAAGGATTTTTGTGTGACCTTGAATACCCATGTAATGATGGTTTCACTGTATGTTTTAACAAATAAGATGTGTATACAAATTCGTATACAATTTTATTCTTAGATGAAACAAGTAAAAAAGCGGTAAGTTCGGCCGGTCGAACTTTAAATACCCTCCACCATTTGGAACGAATTAGAAAATTTTTAAAAAAATAAAATCCATTAAAAGTTCTTTTAAAATCTTTAAAATATCTAATATAGGAAAGTGCCGATATGGGGGGATATACGATATTGTGGACCTATAAAGACAAATCTATGGCTGCGTGTAAAGTACTCACAAGGAACTCCTTGTGTTGATTTTCAGATAATTCCATTGGTAAATGTGGCTAAAATCATCAAAATACCGAATATCGCGGGGTATCGTTATATGAGGGCTATACGATATTGTGGACCTATAAAGACAAATCTATGTCTGCGTGTAAAGTACTCACAAGGAACTCCGTGTGTGGATTTTCAGACAATACGATTAGAAAACGTGGCTAAAATCATCAAAATACCGAATATCGCGGGGTACCGTTATATGGGAGCTATACGTTATCGTTAACCTATATAGAGAATTCTCTG